TGAAGATTAAACATTTAAAGTGTGTTTTCTGCTCGATATGATCCACATACTTCATATTTCTCCTTGATGCAGGGAAAGGCGGCGCCCACTTGAGGATTGCTGCGGCGATCGTAAGCATAACGCACAATCGCTGCCATCTTTAGACCGTCAAGGGCATGAATCAGAGCGGACAGAGCCACTGCCGCATGCTGCACACACACAATAAAACACACGCACAAAAGATAATATGCAGTTAACTCAAAAGTCTCAGACGGCTATAGTTCAAATGCTTCTATTCTATTAAAATGCTTTTATTTACACAATCATTCAAAAGTTTGGGGTCAGTTCAATTTGTGGTTTTCTTTGGTAACACTTGTCACCGGCCCACCGGTGGGCCCAAATCCATTACATTTTTAAAACAGTAATATCCTATACTAAACCTAAACTAATCTTGACAAACTATAGATCATTTGAAAGCTTACAATCTCTAGTTTCCATATTTGGTGATTGATTTTATGAATTGAAAATGAATTACAGAGGAGCCATAATTTATCAATTTTCAACAAGAATATTTTCATACTCCTAAGGCGTGTTCAGACCTTTATTTTGAAATAGCGATGAACATGAAAAATCATGAAAGAAGGGTAGAAACCTCAGTTTGTTTTCATGCCAAGAGTTCAAAAGATAGCATCCATTCAATTATTTTAGAAAAAAAGGTCTGAATTCTTTTTAAATATAAAGAAAAAAATTATAGATTCATCATTTGTGATGTGGCAGCGAGCTATAACGCACACACTTGTTCTTTTTGTGTTTCTTAGAGGTTGAATTCATATCAAAATCTGCCAAACTTCTCATATTACTTCTGAATAGGATGTCTACTTCATAAATTGTATGAAAATTGTGGAAATAATGGTTCATATCACTCAAAACACATATGGAAATGGAGGAGCCCTTATATGAGTCTGGTTGTGGCCTAGTGGAAGCGTTCGGTACTGCGCCCAAACAAAATCTCACTGAAAGCTCATTTTTTGAGATATCAACCTAAAATTTGAAACACAACTTGTTCAGATTTTTTACTTTGATTTTTTTTTTTTTTGCAGTTTTAGAGTCGCCCAGGTTTTGAAAATATATATTTTCTATAAAATATGAATAATTAAATTTTTTACATTGAACATTTTCATAAACTCAAACTTCTAAAACTTTTTTTCTGTTTCACTTTCTTAATTTATTTCACCTCTACAAAAATCTGCCAAATGTCTTCTTTAAAACGAGACCAATCTTACGTCTATATTCCAAAGCATTCTTGAATTACAACCATTTAAGTTTGAAATGTGCATTTTCATGTATATTCAAAAAAAAGGGGGGTGACACTTAAAGGGTTAAAGCCTTTATATATAATGCATTATAAAAGTATTTTTAATGCATTAATTATGCACCTTATAATGCATTGTGATATCTCATAAATAATTGTAACCACAGTTATAACACACCTTTAGAAAGTATAATGCATTAAAACACGACAAACACTTTCAGATGTAACAAGGAATCTGTGAATAATATAATGCATTATAACGTACATTATGAATATCTTTATAATGCATTATACATAAACGCTTTTAAGTGTTACCGTTCCTTTATATAAATTATTCATTTTATTCAGCAAGGATGCATTAAATTGATCAAAAGTGACAGTTAAAGACATTTATAATGTTGCAAAAGATTTCTATTTCAAATAAACGCAGTTCTTTTGAACTTTCTATTAATCAAAGAATCCTGAAATAAAGCGTTATGGTTTCCCGTATAAAATATTAAACAGCACAACTGTTCAACACTGATAATAATAATAATAAATGCAATGGTTCCTATAAATAGTGCCAAATCTGACATTTTTCCTTAATTTTATATTCTTTTTCTTTTTTTTAAAACCCCAAAACTTTGTTAATGTCCAGTTTGAAATAAAAATTATTTTATATGTGTCCTCAAACTTTTGGTCACCACCGCCGTATGCATTCAAACATCACAGTTACTGACAATTATTAAACTAATTATTCAAATTAAGCAAATAATATCACAGTGAACACAAAAGCTTTGTAAAACTCACCTCATCATCTCTGGGAGCAAAAACTTTGACAACTTGGCTTCCCATAAACTGATGACGACGAATCTGCATCAAACAAACAAACAACTGTCATTCTACATTATAAAGGGAACAAACAAGGCAGTTCAAAGTGTTTACATTTACACAAATATCAACATTTTAAAATTATTGGATTTAAAAAAATAATAATTATTGACAAATATCAACATTTTAAAATTATTCGATTTTTGAGAATGTGCTAACATAATCGATGTGCTGGACCGCCATAAATAACCAATTTGTAATCAGTAACTTTCTATTATGTCATCACTACAAAAAATGCTTTTCTTACTTAGTATTTTTGTCTTGTTTCCAGTCCAAATATCAAAAATTTCTTAAATCAAGATGCATTTACTAAAGTTGTAAAATGACATAAGATATTAAGTCTTGTTTTCTGGGGAAATTAATCAAAATTAAGTGAGTTTTTGCTTAAAACAAGCAAAATGATCTGCCAATGGGGTCAGAAAAATAATCTTGTTTCTGTTTGAATTATGATTATTTTTCTGAGCCCATTGGCAGAAAATTTTACTTTTTTTAAGCATCAACTCACTTAATTTGAATGAATTCCCCCGGAAAACATGATATAATATCTTATGGCATTTTACACATATAGTAAACGCATCTTGATTGAAGAATTTTTAGATATTTGGAGTAAGAAAAGCATTTTTTTTGCAGTGCTGTCAGGGTTCTTACACTGATTTCAAGTTGTAGCAAAGCTATTTTATAAACATTGCACTATTTTAGAGCTGAGCACAACAAGAACGTAT